ATTTGACATAAGCATAAACATATAATTATAAAACAAAATAATAAAAAATAATAAAAATATTTGAAGTTTTCTCCATGTCTGGAAGTTAGCTATACCAAAGACCAAAAAATTGAATTGGCGTCTCTGTCCCTAACTTGTCTATACTTTATAAAAACTTTTTGAATCTTCCTGTTACATTTGCAATAATTATCTTAGATCAACAATGACGAACGAACGCCTTTCTGGGTTGGTATTTCTATTAAACGTGAGCTTGCTGAAAGCATTGACTTTGATTTGTCAATAAATTGTTTGGTTCGATGAAATCTTAAAATAAAAAAAAATGAAAAAAATTGTGTAAACTACATCATTAATGAATTTTTTTCTTAATGCTTACATTTTTACATACTGAACTATTTCAGTTATATAAAATGTTTAATAATACAAAACTGAACTATTTCAGTTATATAAATGTTTCTTATTTTATAAAAGATAATTGTTAACTAAAATAAACTTAGGAAACTAAAAAAAGTTTAAGTTGTTTAGTGTATGTAGTATGTATGATAAAAGTCACATAATAAAACCACTTCTAAAATGTTTTAGTTATAAGTACAATCCTCAGGATAATAGTTTCTGGGGTTCAAAACACCATATCCAATCCTGGTCGCTCCCTACTTATAAGCTTGGCCTCTCCACGACATTAAACCTCAATTCGTCACTGATAAGAAGATGTGGATGAGAAAGCTTTTGGAAAATGAAAAAAAAAAAGGATGAGAAAAAATCACCGTTATTCGCCTACTTTATTATTACGGAAAGGTACTGATTTATATGTATAAGACAAGAACATAATTTGTAAAACTGAGTATCTTCTTGCCTTTTAACTCAAGAAGATAAATTTGAGAAAAACTGTCATATTATAAAATTCTAGTTTACTAGTTTTCCTTGTAAAATGTCTCTCATCGAGTAAAACTGAAGAGTTGATTAAGTCTTCAATTTTTCAGACAACTATTATTTAGCAGAATCGTAGTTGTTCTATTACCCCCAAAAGTATTAAAATCCCTGAGTAATAGTTGATATTAAATATATATAACTTGAGAAAAGACTAACGGAACTGAGCTATGGCGTAAATATAAAAAAGACACTTCATCATACAGTTTTACTTTAATGGATAACTTTTAACTTCGGTTATTTTGATTTTCCAAGAATTTTGTCCGGACATAAATTTACTATTGATATTTGTCTTTTTCCTTCCGTGAAAAAACTAATTAAGACTAAATAAAGATGGCGTATTGTTTTGGGTACCACCACTGCTTAAAGCTTACATATCATTTGTTTTAAATAGCGAAAACTAGTCTTTAATTTTTTACTATTATTTTTTATTATGGATGTCCATTACTTTAGTTTGTATTTAAAAGGTTTCATAGTCTATCTTATTCAGCTGCAATCCCTAATTTTTAAATATTTATAATTAACTTTTATAATTACTATGATTATAAGTTACTACTTATAGAAATATATACAGTACAGAAATAAAAATATACATAATTAAGGGTTCTTTTCAAAAACTAAAGATTAGTATTATAAATATGTATAGCTAGATATTTTTATCTACAAAATTTTAGGAGTTATAACTTAATTAAAACTATATAGTTTAATTAAACTATATAATTAACTCCAATAATTTAGTGAACTAAAATTTTAGCTTACTACAGTTATTGTTAACTATAATTAGTTAGTTAAAAAAAAAATCATTAAAGTTGTTATTAATATCTGTGTCTTCCTATGTTGACAATTCCATTCTCTTTGTAAAGTTAAGTTTATATTTTTTGTTAAAAATAGAATTAGATAACTTTTGATATAATATTTTTTGACTTATTAGCAATATTACTGTCATCTGTATATAACTACTATCAGTCGCATTGCTATATAAAAGTTTTGCACATAAGTATTCACAATTTATGATGTAATTGTTATTCTAAGAGAGGTATTTAAAACAGAAAAAAAAGTTCAAGTTCAGTTATAGAATAAAAATCATTTGTTATGACTTTGAAAACAAAGTATAATGAAAAAAATGAATGCTGCCCCAATTTAGCTTCAATGTAGCAGCACTCCCTTGCATGTTCTACCTATTGATAGAAAATTATATATATTTTTTCAATTATTAGTCTGTAGTTAGGGTAATATACAATAACTATTGAATACAGGAAATGAAAAATGCTATAGATATTTTTGTGTTTTTTCACGCAATTTAAGCTTCTAAATAAATTTAAAAATTTTTGATTTTTTATGTTTTAAATATTTATATAAAAAATCTAAAAATTGTCTATTATACAGATTTCTGCGTTTGTTTAATATATGTTTCTAAAAGACAAAATAATTGTTTATGGTTTATCATTATTATATTATTAAAGAAACAATGTTGCAAGTATGATAAAAGTATAAAAAATATAAGCAAATAAGCCAAAGATTTGATAATCATTAAGATATGTGCGAAAATATTAAATTAAATTTTGAAGTCAATTCAACAAATATTTAAACTTACACTTAAAAGTTTAATTAAAAAAAAAAAAAAAAATGAAGATATATATTTATTAAAAAAAAATGATGATATATATTTATAATTAACAAAATTAAAAATTCAATTAAAATAAATAAATTATTAATTTTTATGACATTAAGTTTCTAATTTTTATGGTTTTTATTTTTAAATTAATAAGTTATTTAATAAAACCAAGACATTTTGATTTTGTATCTTATATACATTTTTTATTTATATATGTGTTTGAGATGATTTTTTTTAGAATTTAAATTTTTTATTTCATTTCTAAATTAAAAAACTAAAATAAAGTTCACGGAAATATAATTAATTAAATTAAAAATTTTTCCGTTCGCTTTTCCGTTCCTGTAGAAAAATTGGTGAGTGGAAACTCGTTTTAATTCATGAAAACATCTTAATAGTCATGGTCAAGTTTTAAGCAAAAAAAAATCATTTGCCTAGTCAGCAATAGCGCTTGATGGCACTCCATTCCTGTCCAAGCTTTATTTTGTAGAATTAAATTGCTGTCAGTCAAAATGTCCAAGTACTTTGTAAACTGATTGGACAATCTGAGATTTTAGCTGGACAAAGCCTGATGTCTGACCGTTAAATTAAGCCCTGTATATACTAACTTTTCTCATAAAAAAAAATTACGTTTTTAAAAAAAAAAAATTAGGATTGAAGATAAGAAAAATTTTTTAAAATATGTTTTTTTAAATTGATAGATCGCCTGCCCAAATCAAAACCCTCAGTCGATGTAGCAACACTTCTTTTATGTTCAACCTATTTGCCAGTCAATGTATTTACACTCCGCTGCGATTATACCTAAATAAATTAGTCGATAAAACAAAAATGAAAAAAAAAAAAATTAAAGAAAACAAACAAATTTATGAAAACAGTAAATATATATATATATATATATATATATATATATATATATATATATATATATATATATATATATATATATATATATATATATATATATATATATATATATATATTATATATATATATATATATATATATATATATATAGTAGAGTGGGTCAAAAAATTTTTTTTTCTTGTTACAGACTCTAAACATTGCTAATAGTTATTAATATTGATACTATCAAATATGAGAATGATTGTGATAGACTTAAAAGGCGCAACTTTATTGGGAAAATTACCCGTACCCTAATATTTTGGAGAAAAAATGTTTTTCAAAAGTAGGTCAACCTGCTACTCAAAAGAAGCGAAATTTTATAAAAAAATTCGAAAATAATAATCATTTTATAAAAATCATATTGCCGAAAAAAATCATTATTAAAAAACATGTAAAAATGCACCTTTTTCATTTATTATTGCAAAATAACTATAGTTAAAAAACTATAGTTATTTTGCAATAAATTCTAAAATAATATTTTTTATATGAAAAAATTATTATTTTTGAAATTTTTATAAAATTTCGCTTTATTTGAGTACCTACATCACATAATTTTGAAAAACTTTTTTTTTTAATAATAATAGGGCCTGCTAATTTTTGTAATTATAGTTGCGGGTGGAAGACATTGTTCAATGCATAAAAGTAAATACTTTCCTAAATTAGTACATAAAAAACAACTTTCTAGGCCATAGCCAGGTTAGCAACTCTAAAAAAATTTTTATGACCCCTCTAATATATATATATGCATATATATATATATATATATATATATATATATATATATATATATATATATATATATACATATATATATATATGCATATATATATATATATATATATTAGGGGGTTATAAAAGTTTTTTTAAGAGTTGCCAACTTGGCTATGGTCTAGAAAGTTGTTTTTTTATGTACTAATTTAGGAAAGTATTTACTTTTATGCATTGAACAATGTCTTCCACCCGTAACTATAATTACAAAAGTTAGCAAGTATATGTATATATATATATATATATATATATATATATATATATATATATATATATATATGTATATATATATATATATATATATATATATATATATATATATATATATATATATACAATATATATATATATATATATATATATATATATATATATATATATATATATATATATATATGTATATATATTATATATATATATATATATATATATATATATATATATATATATATATATAAATAATATATTATGTATATATATATAATATATTATGTATATATATATATATATATACATATATATATATATATATATATAATATATATATATATATATATATATATATATATATATATGTATATATATATATATATATATATATATATATATATATATATATATATATATATATGTATATATATATATATATATATATATATATATATATATATATATATATATATATATATATATATATATGTATATATATATATATATATATATATATATATATATATATATATATATATATATATATATATATATATAATATATTATATATAATTTATTGTTTAATTTATTATTATTCAAGACATGAAAAAAGAAATTTGTTTAAGATAGAATGCCAAATCCAACGTCTGGTAATTCAGGCAAGGTATGTCATTTTTGTTTACAAATTTTGTTGTTTGTTATTTATTGTGCATATATTTTTATATTTTTGTTTATTGCTTATACCTAATTTTTGCATGGTAATGATAGTGGATTAATTGATTGATCTAAAAAGTTGTTTACCACCATAACCTGATTTTTTTCTCTATTATTGTTGCTTTATTAACAGAAAGAACTTATGTAGATAAAGAACCTTATGTAGGTCCATATTTTTTTTGATTTTTTTTTTCATGTCTTTTAAATAAATAGGCAGAAAAAGTTTAAAAAGTTAATTAGTCATGATTAGCTGTGACTGATTCTAAAAACCAGCAAGTAGAATTTAACCCACTGAGAATCCTTTGAAGTAGGTTAACACTTGTTAAGTAAATAAGAGTATTTTTTTTGATTATGTATTATTTGCTTTGTCAAACTATATACCTCTCAAATGTTTACCTAAAGCTGGCAATTATTTCAAATATCTAAAAACATCATTAATCAAGTTAGTGACATTATTGCCGCATTACATGAGCCTGAGCTCCAAAGCGCAAGAGGGTTTTACTTCTGTCTTATAAAAAAAAGAGGTTAAATAAATTACACTGTATTTATACACGATCCAGCTTATCATGTTTTCTTTCAAAAAAATCCACTCTGGCAAAATAGCACCAGGGTCTACACTTTTGCATATTAATCGATTGACAGCTTTATTACTAACTAGTGCATTGATACTGGTATTGAAAACATCCACTTATTAGTGTGAAATAAGTTCTCTACATCATCAAACATGGTTTGGAAATCAGTACATCTGATTTGAAGATAGGCCTTCATTGTTTTAACAATAAATATGGGAATATTTTGAGAAATGCGCCTATCATCAACTTTGTAGGTAGTTATAAGTTTTTACCAATGGAATCCAGATTCTGGGTCATTTTGAAATCTTTCCAAATTGACTATTAATTGCCTTAACGCAGGTTTCACTCCAAAGAGAGTGACATTACTTTTCTGTGTAAACTTAAACAGATATTTGAAAACAATTGAAATAAGTAATAAGTAAACTATTTTTCTATAACTATATTAAAGTTAAGCAAGTTTAACTTATTTTGGAAAATATTGCTATTGCTTGACATCTAGAAGAAAAACAATGGATGACCAATAAGTTGTATCTTCGAGTTTTTTTTTTAAACTATAAAGAGATTGTGGAGAAAGCATCAATGTGAGCATCTTTGCCGTTAAATATGTTCTCTGAGGCATTTATTATGTGAGATATCCACCGCATTCCGTTTACCCGGATCACACTAGCTTTCGCTAAATAAAGAAAGCAATGTTGATTGAAAACTTTTTTTAAACTTTATAAGAATAATGCTTTAAATGCGATGAAAATGTTATTAAAAATGAATAAAATAGAGAATAGCAGGCTTGGACAGGAATGGCGTGCGATCGAGCGCTATTGCTGAACACACAAATGATTTTATTTTTTTACAACTTGACCACGATTGTTTATATGTTTTGATGATTTAAAATTTTTAGAAATGCTATGAATGTAGAAATGCTTAGCTAAACTTAAACTAAGAAAAAAATCAAAAAAAAAAAAAAAAAAATTAATGAAAAAAAATTCCTAATAAAAAAAGAAACGAAAAACCGATTCATAACAAAAAAGAAATTATATAAGCACTAAAATAAAAATAAAAACATAAACTCTAAGCAAAAACTTTTTGTTACGTTTTTAATTACGTATGAAATAAACGTTATTAAACTTATCTTTTTAACCGTTATTAAAGTTACGTTAAATGTTTTTAAATTGAAATGCAGAAAAACGCTCTAAATATTAAGAAAATGGAAAAAGAGATCGATGACTTAAAGAAAGTATAAACTTTCAAAAAGATATGATTATGAAAAAAATAAACGAAATAAATCATCGCATCGACACTCAGAAAAGAATCTCTAACGAAAATAAAAATATGGAATCAGAAATACAATCAAAAACTATAAATGTAATAAATGAAAAACTACTAGATCTAGAAAATCGTTCTAGATGAAACAATCTTAGAATTGATGGTGTCAAAGAAATTCAAGGTGAAACTTGGGATGAGTGTGAAAAAATAGTTAAGGATATTTTTTCCAATAATCTTAAAATCAGCAAAGGCATATAATCGAAAGAGCACACAGGTCAGGTCCATTAAAATAAGGTAAAGAGCGAATGATTATCATCAAACTTTTAAATTTCAACGAAAAAAAGTTAATTCTACAAAACTCAAAAAAACTACATGGAACAGGTGTGTTTGTAAACAAAAACTTTGCAAAGGAAACAATAGAAAAGCGTAAAAAACTCTGAGATGAAGTTGTTAAATTGAGAAAAGAAGGTAAATACGCTATTCTCAGGTTTGATTCTATTTTTTGTAAATCATAATTTTTTTTTTTTTAAACATAGTGTTAAGAAAGTTCTTCTAATTTATAACTTAATCAAAATGTCTGAAACAAACAACTTTAAATCGTTTACTTTTAATTTTTCAGAAATGAGACACTTCTCATCTGATGAAAACTTAGATCCAGATATTAATTATTTCAATGACATTATTACGGATTGTTCATATTATTATCTTAACAAATTAGAAGAGTTTTCTTATAAAAATGCAAAAAACAATAATTTTGATCAACTAAGAATTCTTCAAATAAATATCAGAAGCCTAAACCGAAATTTCGAAAATCTTCTCAATATGTTACAAGAAACTACTACAAATTGTATTTTGAGGAAAACCTTTTTAAAAGAGGTTTCTTTGAAAAAAAAAAAAGAATTTTATTAAAGAGGATTTCAATATGAATAGCTTCAACTACTCTACGAACATTAAAGTTAAAAATTTTAATGACTCTAATTTTTAAAATAGGAGCCATTCCATTAATAAATCACCCTACTAGAGTAACTCCAAAATCAGCTACTCTAATTGATAACATTCTAACAACTGATATTTTTATCAGTGACATAAATAAATCTTAAAAACAGACATATCTGACCATTTCCCTATCTTTTTTACCATTAATTTCAACTCTAAAATAATGACTAAAACAAACATAAAAGTTAAATTACGTAACCATAATCAAAAAAACGTTGAGCAATTTAACCCATTATAAATTATCATTGCTCCATTGGAAGAACATCGACTTTGTGATAATGCAAACAACATTTACGATAATTTCTTTAATACATTTTACTCTATTTATGATGCTAATTTTCCTTTATATGAAAAAACAAATCAAAGAAACATTAATTCTCCCTGGGTTACCAAAGGTTTGATAAAATCATCAAAAGTTAAGCAGAAATTATACATATAATATCTAAAAAACAAATCATTGGCCAATGAGAAAATATACAAAGATTACAAAATCTTTTTGAAAAAGTTTGAAAAAACTAAAAAAAATTTAACTATTCTAAAATTCTCAATAAAGCAAAAAATAATTGTAAACACACAATCTCGGGAAATAATAAAAGAAATTACCGGTAAATCTAAATTATGCTCAGGTTCCCTGCCATACATGATCAAAGTGGATAATAACAATATAAATAATTCTGAAACAATAGCTTATGAATTCAATAAATTTTTTGTTAAAATTGGCCCTAAACTATCTAAATTAATTCCTAATACAAAAGCCTCATTTAAAGATTTTTTAGTACCCATGGATAATTGCATTCACTCAGATGAGTTGTCTAAAGAGTTATTATTTGATGAGTTCGAAAAAGCCTTAAAAAAAAAATAAAGCAGTTGGACTGGATGAAATCAATGGTAACATAATTTTAGATTGCTTTGAACAAATAAAATATATTCTTTTTAAAGTCTTTAAATCATCAATAGAACAAAGAGTCTTTCCTGATCAATTGAAAATTGCTAAAGTCATTCCACTTTTCAAAGGTTTTGACAAATCTGATATAAGTAATTACCGGCCTATTTCTATCTTATCTATATTTTTAAAAATACTAGAAATAATCATGTTCAATAGAGTATTTAATTATTTTAGTTTAAATAATTTATTATACAAAAATCAGTTTGGCTTAAAAAAGAATAACTCAACTGAGCATGCAATTATTCATTTGGTGCATGAAATTTCCAATTCTTTTGAAAAATCTCAATTTACATTAGGAATTTTTATAGATCTTTCAAAAACATTTGATTCTGTCGATCATGATATTTTGCTTTATAAACTTAGTTATTATGGAATATATGAAAGAGTAATTAAATGGTTTCAAAGTTATTTATCAAACAGAAAACAATTTGTTTCTTGTAATGAACTTAATCATAAACAGTTTTTAAATGTTTCCTGCGGTGTTTCGTAAGGTTCCATCTTAGGCCCTCTTTTGTTTCTAATATATACCAACGACTTGCATAAAGCATCAAATCTTCTGAGTATTATGTTTGTTGATGACACAAACTTATTTCTCTCTAACAGTGATATCTATCTACTTTTCTCCATGATGAACAAAGAACTTCAAAACATATCTAAATGGTTTAAAAGTAACAAATTAACATTAAATATAACCAAAGCAAAATGGATTTTTTCCCACCCGCTCTCCAAAAAACGTTTTCTACCTCCAAATCTACTAAAAATTCTTATTGACCATATTGAAATTAAAAGAGATTCTGTAACTAAATACTTGGGGGTTTTCATTGGCGAGAAAATCAAATGGAAGCATCATATTAACTATGTTTGCTCGAAAGTTTTAAAAAGTATCTGAATTTTATATAAGACGTGTACTCATTTAGATAAAAATAATTTAACTAAACTTTATTACTCTTTTATCCACAGTTATATAAGTTATGGAGTTACTGCCTGGGGTAGCACTAATCAAAGCAAGTTACAATGTTTCTATCGCCGTCAGAAACATGCAATCTGTTTAATTAATTCTGCGGATCGGTTTGCACATTCCTCAATATATTTTAATCAAATGAAAATCCTAGATATATATAAACTAAACATATATAGAAATTTATCTTTTATTTATATGTTGAAGCATGATTTATC